GAGGAGATGACCAGAGGAGAAATCAGGGGAAGAAAAGGCAATGGGGGAGGCAAAGGGAAAGGAGAGGAACACTTAAAATATACAGTGACATTTGAGTAGGATTAGAGAGAGAGAGAGATCTCTGGGAAAAGTGTCCAGAACTGGGCACACAGGTGCTGATGGTAAGAGAGAGAGAGAGACAAAACCCTGATCTAGTTGCATTAACTCCATTAGGCCTTTCCTCTGTAAAATGAAGACGGTGGAGGCACCAACTGGAGGATTTCTGTGACCTTCTCAAACTCTAAAATTTTTGTCACTGGACTGTTCCACTTTGAAGGGTCAAGAAAGAAATCTGGAGGTTGCAGAAGAGAGAGAGAGAGAGACACACACACGCACATCCAGCAGCATCCTTGGAACATCCTGAAGTCAAGAGAGAGAGAGAGATGTCTGCCCCGGATAGAAGGAATTCCAGAAAACAGCCACGAGGTTGAGAGAGAGAGAGAGAAAAGAGGGCAATCTACAAACTGGGGGTTGATTTCCCGGTTCCTGGAAGAGAGAGAGAGAGACTCCAGAAGGTTTTTTTTTTTTTTCTGGAGCTGCCACCTCCAATTCTGAAATAATCCCATGTTTCAGATTGGGGCCAGAACAGTGGTAAACCTGCAGACCCTGGCGGCAACAGCAGGGCAAGGAAGGGAAAGGTCAGCTGGGCACAGTCCAGTTCTCAGCAGTAATGAAGAGAGAGAGAGAGAAGGAAGGAAGCTCAGAATGAATGCACGGGGGAAATGGGTTTTGCTGATATATTTCCAGGGCCGGGCCGTACTCTTTGTTTTGGCACACTGTTCCTGACAAACAGCCAAGAGAGAGAGAGAGAAAATACTAGTCGACGTTAACAACAACAGCATATGAGACTGTTCTCCAGAGAGAGAGAGAGATGCATGCAAATGGACTGGAAATACCTTGGAGGGTTTCACAAAAATAAGAGAGAGAGAGAGAGAACTCTGCCAAAGGAGATGGAGAGCAATTCTTTAAACATAGTAGGAGAGAGAGAGAGAGAAGCTCATAAATACAAGCCTCTTAAAATGGGACGCATTTACCTCGCGAGAGAGAGAGAGAGACAGCTCAGTTTGGTGCCCCACACAGGAAAGCGGCTTTAAAAGGCTGCCTTTGCAAGGCTCCGAGGCCCCGAAGGTTGATGCCTGGAGTGTCAGCGCCATCTAGTGGAAACATGGGGTATGGTCGCTTTGGACAGCCTCAGTCTAAAATGAGAGGCAGAGACAAACGGTAGAGAGAGAGAGAGACTATGAAAGATGAGAGAAAGGCTGTTGAGTTTTATTTCATCATCGCAGAGAGAGAGAGAGAAGATGCCGCTTTGGCTCCCAGCCATCAATCAACTGGTAATAACCAAAGAGAGAGAGAGAGACCATTTGCACATTCCATTTCAGCCCAGGTAGGGATGGAGACAATAAAGAGAGAGAGAGAGACTTCTCCAGTCTGATTCTCAGATGCCAAAGCCTCCAGGCCATGAGCGGTCCCTACTTAAACAGAATAGCAATCCTTTGGTGCCCTCTCCAAAGAAAAGAAAGAGTAAAGAGAGAGAGAGAGATAAAGAGCTTATTTATGTGCAGAAGGTGTGAGACCTGAAGATGAGTTAACAGCCACAGCAGGGGGAGGAGGGGTGACAGGTACTGCTCAAATGAGCAGCAACCTTCGGCCACCTGGCAAGAACAGGCATTCAGTGCAGGGCTGGCCTGCTTGTGCGGGCTCCAGAGACCACTGTGTTTCTTAGAAGGGAAACAATGGGGCAGGGCACGGTGGCTCATGCCCGTAATCCCAGAGAGAGAGAGAGACAAGGGAGGTGGATTATGAGGTTTGGAGTTCGAGACCAGCCTGGCCAGAGAGAGAGAGAGATGTCTCTACTAAAAATACAAAAATTAGCCGAGCATGGTGGAGGAGGAGAGAGAGAGAGAGAAGGAGGAGGAGGAGGAGGGCGGGGCGGGGAGAAGGAGAATAAGGAGAGAGAGAGAGAGAGAAGGAGAAAGGAAGAAGGAAGAAGGAGAAACAACAGTCCAGAGATGAAGAGAGAGAGAGAGAAAGAGGTTGACTTGAGGAAGGCAGTCATGGGGATAAAAGCTCCCACAGAGAGAGAGAGAGAAAAAGAAAGCAGGCCGGGTGCAGTAGCTCACACCTGTAATCCCAGCAGAGAGAGAGAGAGAAAGCAGGAGAATCTCTTGAGTTCAAGACCAACCTGGGCGACACAGCAGAGAGAGAGAGAGAACAAAAAACATATTTTTTGTGTTTGGTTTTCAAGAAGTGATTCAAAAGAGAGAGAGAGAGATAAAACTTACTGTAACTATCAGTGTAAAGACCCATGCCTGGATCCTAGAGAGAGAGAGAGACAACTTGGTAAAAATGCTGTTCTTGACACCCTGTCCTCCCTATCCTAGAGAGAGAGAGAGATGATCTCTGAAAAAATAAAATTAGCCGAGTGTGATGGTGCATGTCTAGAGAGAGAGAGAGACAGGAGACTGAGGCAGGAGAATCACCGGAGCACAGGAGGTTGAGGCAGAGAGAGAGAGAGACTGTGCCACCGCACTCCAACCTGGGCCATAGAGCTAGACCCTGTCTAGAGAGAGAGAGAGACCAGAGTATTTTGTGATTTTACCTTTTACTACTCCTCCCTTGTTTTAGAGAGAGAGAGAGAACCAGAGAAGGAAAGAAAAGATGAAAGGGAAGCTGGGCACGGTGATTCCCGCCTGTAATTCCAGCACTTTGGGAGGCCGAGGTGGGAGGATCACTTAAGATCAGGAGAGAGAGAGAGAGAGAGCCAACACGGTGAAACCTCATCTCTACTAAAATACAAAATTTAGCCAGAGAGAGAGAGAGATTCCTGTAATCCCAGCTACTCAGAAGGCTGAGGCACGAAAATCGCTTGAACCTGGGAGGCGGAGGCTGCAGTGAGCCGAGATCATGCCACTGCACTCCAGCCTGGGCAGAGAGAGAGAGAGATATCTCAAAAAAAGAAAAAAAGAAAGAAAGAAAGTGGGGAAAGTGGAGAGAGAGAGAGAGATTCTTGAGTCCCTAGCCTATGATAGATAATATATGTGAAACCACATAGAGAGAGAGAGAGAACAAACCTCATTAGGTCACACCTCCTGGGAAAGACCAGACGGATCTAGAGAGAGAGAGAGACTTCCCCCTTTTCAGTACAAAGCTAGGCTAATCTTAGTGCAAACCCAGAGAGAGAGAGAGATGTGGCATATAAACATCCTTAACTCAGCACATCATCCTTTCACCTCAGAGAGAGAGAGAGATGCCTCACTCTGGTTTTTCCTTTTGATGAAAAGCAGAGCGTCAGGCTCTTAGGAAGTAACTCCCTGACTTAGCTACACATTTTTACACATCACTCAGTTTCTGTGTAAGAGAGAGAGAGAGATTCCATAACCAAAGAGAGATTTCCTATTGCTCTGCCCTACCGAGCTAGAGAGAGAGAGAGATCAATTATCATGGTTAAGTATCATGTCTTTGCCGAGAGACATTTGTAGAGAGAGAGAGAGAAATAGGGGATCTGGATTTGTCCTCTCCCACAATTAGACCTTGGGTGAGAGAGAGAGAGAGATTTGAGCTCCCCTCCCTGCCTTTCCTGGGCTGCCAAACCCCAAGCCAAGGTTGCCACTCCTCTGCCTTGCTGGAGTAAAACCTCAGGCCCCGTGACGATCCTGGCTCTCTCACCAATGACAACCTCAAAAATTAGGGGAAACACACTTGTTTTAGAGGCAACAGGACAGACACATGAAGAAGGGTCAAGTACAAAGCCAAAGAAAGTGAACTTGAACTTCAGCTCCAACAGAGAGAGAGAGAGACAGCCCGTGTTCTCTCCCCCAGCGTCTAATGCTCACTACTGGTAACTGCTGCCACCACTGTGAAAGAGTGGCCACCACATCTTTATTGCATACTCAGGTGAATAACTTATTACACAATGAACACTCCTCTGTTAGGAGACCACGCCCACTTACAGAATGCAGCTGTGAATGCGGTAAATCTATTTACAGAGGCTGGGGTGCAAGACAGAGAAGTATCAGCCCCAGGAATAGAGAGAGAGAGAGATCTGCAAATTCTCCTGACAAGGAGCAACTGGGCCTGTGCCAGTGAGAGAGAGAGAGAGAGATGGCAGAGCGTCGGGGGAGATTAGATCTGGGAATTGACAGCAAGTTTGGGGACGGTGCAAGAAGAGAGGGGTGACCTGTGAATTGGTGCTGGGGAGCTGCTGAGGCCCAATGTGGGGCAGCACCAGAGAGATGAGTAAATGTAGGGTGATCTTTTAGCCTTGCCTACCAGAGAGAGAGAGAGAGGGGAGCGGGGGTGCCAGCAAGTTGGTTCCAGTGTAGATTCAGGCCAGAGAGAGAGAGAGAAGGCCTGTGCTGTTTTTGTTCAGATGTGCAGGTCTGCTCTGGGCCAAGCAATCCTCACAAAAGCCACTGTGACTTAGAGGAGCAGGCCCCTAGAGCTGTGTGAGCCAAGAGAGAGAGAGAGAACCAGACCTTTAGTCCATGGAAAGTAACAGCAAGAGTAAGGGTCTAAGAGAGAGAGAGAGACTCATGCCTGTAGTCCCAGCACTTTGGGAGGCGGAGATGGGAGGACAGAGAGAGAGAGAGAGGTCAAGGCTGCAGTGGGCTGTGATCACACCACTGCACTCAAGCCTAGAGAGAGAGAGAGAATCCTGTTTCAAAAAACAAACAAAAAGAGTAAGGGTCTAAACTTGAGTTGCCTGAGACTCCCACTTAAAAGAAGTATCCTAAGGATGAGAAAAAAAAAAAAACCACCAGAGAGAGAGAGAGACTGGAGTCGTGTTAGTCCACATCAGCCCCAGCATGGAAGAATTGTGAGAGAGAGAGAGAGAAGGCAAGCTCTTCCCGTAGCGTCTTGTACAGTTTTCTCAGAAGACTAGAGAGAGAGAGAGAATCCCTTTGAGCTCCCGCTGGATCTGCCGCCCAGCTGTGTTTGTCCAGAGAGAGAGAGAGAAGTTAGCTGCCCTCTTTCTTTCCTCCGTAGTCATTGTAAGGGCTCGAGAGAGAGAGAGAGAGTGGGATGGAGAATTCCTTTTGGGGAGGCTGGTTATGAAAAAGAAACAATCATATCGTGAAACCCACTCCAGTTCCTGCCATCTCAACAGGTCTCCAGTCTGGGCAGGAGTCTCAATTCCTTCCCCTTCTCCCAGGCCTCCCACCCCCAAGTCCTCTCTATGCCAAGCAGAGAGAGAGAGAGACTAACCCCATGAGGCCAATTAGAGGAAAGAAGACCCATCATTCCTTAGAGAGAGAGAGAGAGGGCCATCAGAATGGCAATATCGCCTGTTTCCAAAGGATCAGTGTTAGAGAGAGAGAGAGACCTTTGACGAAGAGGGAGAAAAAAAAATCACGTACCTGCAGCTGGAAGAGAGAGAGAGAGAGGGCATAGAGCGTGTCCCCTGTCTCTTCAAAACCTGAAACAGAGGGAGAGAGAGAGAGAGAGCACTGGGGCTCCCACCTGTGTTCACCCCGTTGTATCACTGATCACAATGTGACATCTTGCCCATTTAACTGCCTGTCTCTCCAGCAGACCTTAAGTTTCTTGCAGGAGAGAGAGAGAGAGACCCAAGCCTAGGACCAGGCACAAAGCAAACACAATAGTGGTTGAATAGAGAGAGAGAGAGAATGACTAGGGACACCCTTTTTCAGAACTTCATCAGAGCCCCACCTCAGAGAGAGAGAGAGACAAAAGCACATTTGAAAATGAACCAGGCACGGTGGCTCTCATGCCTGTAATCCCAGCACTTTGGGAGACCGAAGCAGGCAGATCACAAGGTCAGGAGATCGAGAACAAGAGAGAGAGAGAGATGAACCTCTGTCTCTACTAAAAATACAAAAAATTAAGCCGGGCATGAGAGAGAGAGAGAGAAATCCCAGCACTTTCGGAGGCCGAGGCAGACGGATCACGAGGTCAGAGAGAGAGAGAGAGACTGGCCAACATGGTGAAACCCCATCTCTACTAAAAATACAAAAAATAGAGAGAGAGAGAGAGTGGGAGACTGTAGTCCCAGCTACTTGGGAGGCTGAGGTAGGAGAAAGAGAGAGAGAGAGAAGGCAGAGCTTGCAGTGAGTAGAGATCGCACCACTGCACTCCAGCCAGAGAGAGAGAGAGAGACTCCGTCTCAAAAAAAAAAAAGAAAAGAAAAGAAAAGTCATAAAAGAGAGAGAGAGAGAATATAAATCTGGCCAGGGGTGTACCTACAGTGAATCTCACTGGGGAAGAGAGAGAGAGAGAAACTGCCTGACAAGGAAAATATGTACATATTTGTATCATTTTCTTTAGAGAGAGAGAGAGATGATGAGCAACTGTTTTCTGTGTATTTGGGGAAAATCAGAGGCTTGAGAGAGAGAGAGAGACATATGCAATCATCATGAATGCAATTCAAAGCAATTCGTTTATTTCAGAGAGAGAGAGAGAGCCCAATTTGCTGAATAAACACTTAAACACCTTTATGTAAGAGATCAGAGAGAGAGAGAGAATTAACCAGAATGATCCCTCCTTGCAGCTGACGCTGGAGAGTGAGGAGAGAGAGAGAGAGACATAAATAACAATGCAATGAGACAGACACTGATAAGAGCATTTCAAAGAGAGAGAGAGAGACAGGGTGGAATGAGTACCAGGGGTAACTGGGGAATGCCTGATCCTGAGAGAGAGAGAGAGAGGGAGACAGCTACGCCAGGCAGAGGACAGACACACCTGGGGCACGGAGAGAGAGAGAGAGACGCGGTGACTTGGTGTATCTGGACTGAGAGGAAAGCTTCAGAGGTTGTTGGTTCCAACTGTGGAAGGGCTCAGGAAGGATTTGATGGGATGGGGTGGATCATGGGACCCAGGGAGGAAAGTGAGCAGCAAAGCATGGAGGCCAGAGCAGCATTTTAAGGGAGAAAGCTAGAGAGAGAGAGAGAAATGAATGAAGGAAGGAAGACTCGTCAGTGAATGAGAACAGGAAGTAGAGAGAGAGAGAGATGGAGTGAAGCCACGGAACAGACAAGAGGGGCTGGGTGGTTCAATAAGAGAGAGAGAGAGATCCAAGTGCCCTAGAAAGGGACCACAGTTGCAGTGAGTAGCACCAGGAAGTTCCACACCTCAGGCTTAAGAGCAAAGGAAAGACCTATTTTTAGCTGGTGCTAAGAACGTGGCCTTGGAGGTTCCTCATTCCTATCCCAAAACCACCCACTCCCTGTGATTAGACTTAAGAGAGAGAGAGAGACTGGAGACCAATGATTAGGTCCCTATGAGCAGGGGCACTTTCTGGCAGAGAGAGAGAGAGATTTTGCTTATTAAACACAACACGAGAATATCTGGCTTCTCACAACTAGAGAGAGAGAGAGAATCATTTGATTCTTTTTTTTTTTTTTTTAATAGAGATGAGGTCTTGAGAGAGAGAGAGAGATGGTCTCAAACTTCTGGGCTCAAGCAATCCTCCCACCTCAGCCTCCCAGGGTGCTAGGATTACAGGCGTGAGCCACCATGCCTGGCCTGAATCATTTGATTCTTGTATGTCAGCTATGATCTGTTCCTTCCCATGGGCCCAGAAGCACACACAAAAAAATGTGGTTCTAGAGAGAGAGAGAGAATCCTTACCAATTTTAAGGAGACTTCGTGCTGGTTTGTGATAAAAGGGCTTTCTCCCTTCTCTGCTCTGTGATCACTGCAGGAAATCATGGCTTGGTTTCATGCACTGAAATCTACAAAGGCTCTACATTTCTGGAAGGAATGCCTCGTTATCTTTTACAAAAAACACAGAGAGAGAGAGAGATTGCTGGGAATTTGTCTCGTTATCCCTTTTCCATTTCTTTGCTGCAAGAGAGAGAGAGAGACAGAAAGCTCTGAGGTGTTCTGCCCCACAGGAAATTACACCACAAGGAAGGGGAAGTGAGGAGGGCTCTCCCCTGTCTACACCAATTGTACAAAGTACTCAGTAAAGATCCAGAGGCCAGCTTCTTGTTCTACTTGTCTCTAACAGGCTGGATGATTTTAAGAAAGATAGAGAGAGAGAGAGACTTACCTAGTCTATCAAGAGTATAATCTGGAAAATCTTGCATGTTCAGAGAGAGAGAGAGATCCTATGATTCTCCCCCACCTTTCTACAAGGGATTCTCTGCCTAGCAGAGAGAGAGAGAGACCTTGAGTGATTTCCTCTTGAGAGTAGGCTCTGTTCTCCACACCATAGCTCTTCTTCATGAGTTGAGGTTTACAGAAAGAATCCTCAACAGGATAATCCATGGGGTTAGAGAGAGAGAGAGACAGCCAAAACTCAGGACTAACATAAGCCAACAGGAAGACCCAGCCATTGGCAGCCAAGGCAGAGCTGAGGATGGTGTCATCCCACCTGCGGTCAAAGTCAGGAAGCATGAGCAGGGTGATCCAGGCCACCCAGATGGCAATGGAGAGGAGCATCGTGAGGTAGATGTGAGAGAGAGAGAGAGACCAGCCCGTGAAGGAACCACAGAAGGTGAAGGAGGACATGAGGAAGGTCAGCGCCATCAAGAAGAGGACATAGATGAGCAGGAGGACAAAGTCTTCATTACGACGAGAGAGAGAGAGAGAGAAAAAGACATTGACGTTGGTCCTATTCATGGTCAGGACAATATATTCAGAGAGAGAGAGAGACTGGACGAGGCTGAAGCCCACGGCGAGACCCAGAATCACCAACAGGGAGAGGGGCTTCCTCCCCCGGACGAGCTGGGTCAGATTGAGGGCATGAGCCAGCAGGCAGGAGAGAGAGAGAGAGAAGAGGATCCCAAAGAGGAAGAAGCGTGTGGGCCCCGTGCTCCCGTCAGAGAGAGAGAGAGAGGCGAAGGTGAGGCCAAAGATGCCCAGCACACCCAGGAGGAAGAAAAGAGAGAGAGAGAGAATTTTTCGCCTGTTGGAGTCCTGCACCTTGCAGACGAGGAGTGGGAAGAGAGAGAGAGAGACCACCGAGGTCACAACCCCGGCTGCGGCCAGCGTTTCTAGGACGATGCCCCAAGCTTCAGCCTTATCACAAAGTCTGTGGTACCTGGATATCAGGCCACTGCGGCAAAGAGAGAGAGAGAGAGTAGCCATTCTGGACCTGCAGAAAAGGAATGTTGGTGTGGGGAGAAAGAGAGAGAGAGAGAAACACAGTCCTCAGACATAGAAGACTAAAAAAGGATTAGGAAACGAAGAGAGAGAGAGAGACCAGGGTTTTGACTTTGAGCTTACTACATTAAGTAAAGCTACTAACAGAGAGAGAGAGAGAGTAGTAAATTCTAAAACCTGTCGAAGAACAGGAAGAAATCTCGTGTGTCCCTTCCCCCAGTTGAACTATCTTAATGGTTACCTTAAAGCCAGAGAACCTGAACACTCAGAGAGAGAGAGAGAAAGCTTAATTTCAAAAAACTTCACAGGGCTGGACGTGTTGGCTCATAGAGAGAGAGAGAGAGCACTTCGGGAGGCTGAGGCAATGGGATCATTTGCTCTCAGAAGTTAGAGAGAGAGAGAGACAACGTAACAAGACTCCATCTTTATATGAAAAATTACGGCCGGGCGAGAGAGAGAGAGAGAGTAATCCCAGCACTTTGGGAGGCCGAGACGGGCGGATCACGAGGTCAGGAGATCGAGACCATCCTGGCTAACACGGTGAAACCCCGTCTCTACTAAAAAATACAAAAAGAGAGAGAGAGAGAGTGGCGGGCGCCTGTAGTCCCAGCTACTCGGGAGGCTGAGGCAGGAAGAGAGAGAGAGAGAGGGAGGCGGAGCTTGCAGTGAGCCGAGATCCGGCCACTGCACTCCAAGAGAGAGAGAGAGACAAGACTCCATCTCAAAAAAAAAAAAGGAAAAGAAAAAAAAGAAAAAGAGAGAGAGAGAGATGGCACGCACCTGTAGTCCCAGCTACTCAAAAGGCTGAGGTGGGAAGATCGCTTGAGCCCAGGAGTTCAAGGATGCAGTGAGCAATGATCACATCACCGCACCCCAGAGAGAGAGAGAGAGAAAGACCCTGTCTCTTGAAATAAATAAATATATATATATATATGTTAAGAGAGAGAGAGAGAGGATCCTGATATTTTTTTGCTAGTGTTTTCTTAGGAATTAGTGAACAGAGAGAGAGAGAGACCTGAAGTTAACACTTTAATCATAATTTCGCAGCCTCTACCTTTGGAGAGAGAGAGAGAGATTGTAAGCATCCTAGTCTCTCATGGTTAAGAGGAGTCATCTGGATGAGAGAGAGAGAGAGAAGGGTTTTGACTTTGAGCTT